TGCGCGCGCAAGGTGTCCAGCATCAATAAACACAGGAAAAAGTACATACTCTTACTTACATGCCCTGCATACTGTCCAAATTTCTTTCGGAGGCCAGCAGCTAGTCCAGTAAGGCATTTGGCAGCCAAAGCAACTAACATAACATTTGTATCCTTTCCAACAACCTGAGGAGAAAAAACAAACAAGAAACCCAAAAAACCTCCAGTGTTAAAAGACCAAAAAAACAAATTTCAGAGACTTGGAAGAATTTCTTAGAATAGTCAGTAGGCCACAGATTGGGTTATTTCCACCACTGTTCCAGCTAATAATTTTCTAGTCATGAGTATTATCTCAATTGTAACTTTTAAAGAATAATATGAATAAATTATAAAAAAAAAAAAATTAAGCCATATGTGCACTCTGGGTTTTATTTATTACCTTTTTGAGAACTTTCACCAAGTCTGCATAGTCTCCTGATTCCAATTTGGGATTTTTCACCAGCAGTTCAACAGCTTCTAGAGCTTCTTTCCTTTCTTGCCACTTTTTTGCTTCCTGCTGAGCAAATAATTTACATTCATTTATAAATACAAACCTTTCTAGAGAAGCATACTTGCCACAAACCATAGATTTTAAAACTTAATTCTATCCTGAGAAAGCCAAAGTCTCCCTACAGTTCAACATCAATAATTGCAATGAAATATGAAATACAGTCCTTTCCCAGGACATCTCTCAGCTCCTTAAAATTACAGCTTTCTTGCTGGTAAATCAAATTTTGACACTTATTTATGATAGTCTGTATTTTACTTACACTAGTCTGTTATTATCCTTGTAGCAGTAAAGCATGCATTGCAGAATGGTAGTAAGTCTTAAGACTCGTTAGCTCCACATGTCATAGAGTTAACTGGTAGTATAAGTTTATGCTTACTATTTTCTCATAGAAGTCTTTGGGAAGCTTGGAAAGAATTTCTACAGCTTCAAGCAACTCATATGCATCTACTTGTGGTACCGCCTCTTCCTCATCATCACCTCCTGCAACCAGAAAAGAGAAAAATATAAGCAGAGTGACAAATGAAATTTTGACTACAGCACCACCTAAGGCTCATTGTTTAAGAAGTACTATCAGCAGCTGTGATTTTGCTATTCCAAAGGACAGATACTCTTTCATATAAAGTTTTTGCCCGAGCCACATTTTCTTGTTGTGTACTGCACCCCACATGTTTTGCACCAGTTTGAGTAAAAGCACCTTTACAATTTAATGCATTCCTTCACAAATAATATACTAGTGCTATACTTTCCAATGGAGTTCAGAGATTAAATAACTTACCTCCATCTGCATCTCCTCCAACTGCCTGCTGCTGCTCAAATTTTGCTTTCAGCTCCTGTTGGGAACGCAGGAACCTGGTCTGCTTAGGAGCAGCTGATGACACTTTGACCCACTCTTCTTCCAGTTCTTTTAGCTGCCAAAAGAGAAAAGAATCATTGTATCGGAGACATTTTGTACATAACCCAAGACAAACAACGCTTCATGGAAAGCAATGGAGTTTTCCCATTTCAAAGCCAAGATAGCACTACCTTTCAAGTTCTTTTTTCTGCCACCAAAGAAGTGACATCCCCTTCGCATTCACTGTTCAGAAGCTTTTGACCAAGTATATCCACAAAACAGAGTATCATCAACAAAAATACCAATGCAAAGCATTTACATAAGAACAAACTGTAGAACAGTCAGAATGGCGTGTCCCCTCTGTAGAAGCTTTAAAATAAAAAAGGCTGAGCATGAAGGAAGATCTTTTTGTTACTGCCATGCTATTATTACACACTAAAACTAAGACAACGCAAACATGTTGAGCTACATTTGATGAGACAGTTTGGTTTTCTTTAAACCATGCCTTTTTCCAGCAAGTTACTGCTTTCCACCTGAACACAATTAACTCAAGTGGGTAGGAGGGAAGGATGCATAAACAACTTAAAGTTTTAAAATAACGGGATGTTCCATGTCCAATAGCATAGTTACCTATCATAATGTAATGCCACTTCCTGAAGTGGAACAGTCACATCCTGAGCACCACCAGAACAAGTCTGAAGGGCTGCGTAGAGGAGAAGACTTCAGGAAAAAAGAAGGAAAACGGTCGACTTGAAGACTTTCAATGCAGGGGTCTTTTATAAGGGTAACCATTTGCCCTTGGGTTAGGTCTCCAAGAAATACCATTCTACTTCTCAGATCCCCTCCTCAGTTTCAGTATGATGCTTCCCCCCACAGCTTCACATACATTCAGAGCAACAAAAAAACATTGTCATGATTTCTTTACAAAGAACAAAGAGGGACTAACATTTTAGGTGAAGTTACAGGAGGCTAAAAAATAACATTGCTGTTACTGAAAAATTCCAGCTTTGTCTTTAAGAATGCCCAACACCACAGGATCAGGGAGGGTGAGCATGGAAGTGTTTTCTCGGCATACCTGAACAGAATTTATGTTCTGCAATGGAGGTCTCAGAGCATCCCTTATCCAACGGTAGATCTCCACAGCAAGGAGTTTGGCTTCATCTCGAACAGCCTTTTCCCGAGACTCAAAAAGTTTTGGCAATACTTTAATGATTGGCTTCAGTGAGATTATTTTTGAACCAAATTCACTAAAAGTTAAAAACATAGAATAGCATCAGAGTCCAGGTAGGAACCAGATAGTGATCCACAAATAATAATTGATTTTTTTTAAACAATCTATGAAATGCTTCCAGTGCACTTTTAGGGATTGTGTCATTACTTAAATCATTATTATAGCTATTATTTTGTGAAGCTACTAAGCTACTGTAAAATTTAAAAAAATATTTGCCCTATCATAATTACCCTCCACACCCAGCTTGGAATTACAAAATCAGGCCTCTGAAATTACTTCAAAGCACTTAATACAATCTGCTGCTTCAATCTGTTCTCTTGTGGAGGGGGGGAAGAAAAAAAGAGAAGGAAAAAAGTGTCCTTAGACCAAAATTTGTATGACCTACTTTTTTTTTTTTTAATCAGAATAGAATCTCCTTTGTCTATCCTTGGAGGCAAACTGCAGTAAAAGCATTAGTCACTTTTCCACTTGTTAGACCAGATAATTATAGTGAGCTTGGGTCATCTTCACAGAAAATATACATGTTGAAATATGTGCTGCTGAAAGGACACACAAAACAAGTTTCCCCAGCCAATCACCCTTCCCTGTCAGCAGATTCTACATGTTGTTGAACTCAATACACTAAACTTGCTTTTTCAATCACTGCTGAATGAGAACTTCCTTTCCATACTCATAGTAAAGTTAACTGCTACAGTTCTTAAAGCAGATCTAAATCACCTCAGAAGCCCTAATTTTTTTTGATTCAGAACCATTTCTTTTCCTTGAGAATTCGGAATTAACCTTTCCACCAATCACACTTTCTTCTGCTTCCCTTCAATCAAGTACCACATGAAAAAGCTAGTAAAAATGGCTGCTCAAGAACTAAAACTTATGTCTCACTTTCTAAAAATTCTAGTGCTAAACATTTTATTGCCAAGCCCACTTTGTTTCTAAGACTGGAGTCTCTTTTGCAGGTTTTAATACTTAGTATTTCTCAATGCAATTTAAATGCAGAATATGAACAAATGAGTTGCCCAAAATTTTTATTTTTCTACCATGACACAAAAAAGAGCATATTAGGAAGAGTGCCTATGCAAATTCTCTTATTCTTATCCAATTCATATAACAACACAAGAAAGAACAGAAACCTTAGCACAAGATTAAAACACACTAGAAGCTAAACTAGTTATGCACTCAAGCTACCCACATAGGTACAACATAGACAAATTTTGTTATCAATGCAGAAATCCTGTCAAAGCACAAGACAAATTTAGGTAGCAACACAGCTCAGAAGCAGAAGACGAAGGTTAAGTCAATAGGGCTCCATGAAAGAATTTGATCTTGCCATCTCAAAGATAATAAAATACTGCATATAAAAAAAAAATAGGCAGATGTGGCACATTTTATAGGCGTGGTTAGTTGAAAGATATTGAGGAAGGTTACACAGGTTTCTAATTACACTGTACTGTTAAAAGGACATCTGATTAGATAAGGCAATTTAAAATAGCTAAAATATATTCTTAAATGTGGGACAGTAGTTTCACTTAGTAGAAGCACAGGTAATGTGCTAAGACCCATGCTTTGACTTCTATTACAGAAGCCTGAAACAATTAGTTTAACAAGGACCATCTATACATATGCCTCAGCAAGTTCGCTAAAAAATACCTAGCATAAGACACTCTCCATCTATATTATACAGTTTTCACATGAGCTTATATTCTTAAATGTGGGACAGTAGTTTCACTTAGTAGAAGCACAGGTAATGTGCTAAGACCCATGCTTTGACTTCTATTACAGAAGCCTGAAACAATTAGTTTAACAAGGACCATCTATACATATGCCTCAGCAAGTTCGCTAAAAAATACCTAGCATAAGACACTCTCCATCTATATTATACAGTTTTCACATGAGCTACTTAGAAAAAAGCGCTCTGTCCATTAACACCAAAATTATGTTTCCTTTTAAAAAAAAAAACCCAAACAATCTAGGAACAGTAAATTATATATACACACACCAAGTGTAAGAATTTGATAAAACCCCTGTATTTTTCACTCAACTCACAAAGGCAGCAAACATACTTGAAGTGGAACAAAAAAAGATGTTCCAAATCTAATCTTGAAACCAACTACCCCATCTTAATTAAACTGGATTTGATTTTTAGGGAGCATTATCAGCTTTTCTTTTTAATAAAGAAATTCTTATACGGACAAGAGAAACTTACTGTACCCAATTAAAGATGCTCACATCAAAATGGTGTTGTTTTTTTTTTTAAAAAAGACTACATTTTAATTTTCCCATCAGTGAGTTTATTTCAGCTATTCAGAAGAGAAGCTCTGCAGTCTGGAACAAGACACACTAATGCTGCCCTTCTTTCAGAGGTCCATTGTGAAAATGGAAGTTTGGTAAACAGTTGCCAGGAACAAAAGTGATCCAGATGAGGCTTGTACAACAAAGACATCCCTCACATCTAACAAATCCCATGATGCTCTCAACTGTTGTCAGAAAATACCAGTTCAGTAAAGATACATCCTATTCAACAATAACAAGGGCCTGCTAAAGACTTAAGCAACAAATTAGACTCTACATACTGCTGGAGTGAGGGGAAAGAGAAGGAAAAAAAACCCAAACACCGCGAACTAAAAGCTTACCTTAGGGCTTTCCTCAGTGTCTCTATACACGCTACTATGATTTTCGGGTTTTTGTTGTCCAGACCCTTTAGTAATTCTTCTTGTACTGCCTCCCCTTTCTCAATTTCTATATACATTAGACATATATCTAGACCCAGCTCCTTTGCTCTGGCTTTTGGCTGATTGAACACTTTATTTACAACTCCAGACGCTACTTCTCCTGTTGTCCTGAAAGAGGAGAAAGTGTTACTTTTGGAACATTTAAGTGAATTAGGTGTTCTACACCATTATCCACAGACAAAAGCACACACAACACCCAAAACATGGATTAAAACTCAGGAAGTCCTCATATAATAGGGACTAAATTCTAAGTTAACTTTTAAGGTAGTAACCTTTTGTAAGAGATGACTTCAACCTCTAGTTTAATCAAAAGAACTCCTGCAGACTGAGTGCTAGTTAACATGTTCCTAATACTGGATTACACCAGACAGTGAATAGTACACTTTTTCTCAAAAGTATATTCATTAATATACATTAGTCAAGGTCCACAAATAAATTTCCTGGAATTGCATACATTACAGTTAACTAGCATACAGCATTGGCGCATAATCCCAGCACAGGATTTCACATCTATTTCAAAGCTTCCAATCAACTAAATCATTTACACCACTTTTAAAAACCTAACAACCTTCCAAACCCCTTAATTTAAACAAAGCTTTGAGTTTGTTTATTTGTTTTTTAAGTAAGACTTTCATTCATTTCATCAGGTCACAAAGTCAATGGACCAGAGCACTGATCTGGCCCATTAGGTGTTTTTATTTCACCCTCAGGAGTACGGGCTATTTCATGGGCTAGACAACAGTGAATACTAAAAGACATCCCATGAAGAAATTGGCAGGTATGAAGATTCATATTGGTTAAGCTGGATGCAACACTACATAAACATAACTACATTTTATTTCATGGATGAATTACACAAATATCTCCCTGGAAGAAAAGGCTCCCTGTACATACAGACCGTTTAGTCAAACAAGAACACGGATTCCAGTTCACAGCACCTACACCACCAAATTACTGATTCACTTTCCCTACCATTTCAGAAGTCTTTACTACTGCCTTTAGCAGTTTCTTTGAACATTGTAAGTAATTTCTGACAAGTTAACACGCACATGGAAGCCATCTACAGGGAAAGCATTTGATCTAGATTTTGGCAAATCTAGAATTTGGCAAATTCTCTGGATCAGAAAGCAAGTTCTGCTCTCAACAGTAAAGATCAGAATTGTTAGTGGCCACTGTACAATTTAATCTGCAGCCTTTCTCAGAGAGGCACATTAAACTGTCCTAACAGCCTACTAATAGCAAGAAAAGGCTACTTACTTCCCAGCTACATGAGCATTTTCAACATAAGCAAGCGCTGCTTCCAGTCCTTTCAACTGAGCCACTGCATTGGAGTCTGTCACAAATTTCTTTATCAATCCAAGATACTTGGACCACTCAGGACTCTTTTCATCATCTATCTTCTGGAAGAGCTTAAGGGCTTCTTCATAACCATTTAATCTGGCTTTCCACAGCTGGAAGCAGAAATCAGATGTTTAAACATTGTGCTAGTACAATCTTAACTCACCAATCTCGCAAAGTTCTTCAATCATAGTTGAAAGTGTGCTCAGTAAGCTGGCATCTGCAAGATTTCTCTTCGATGACTATATGAATAACATGCAACAGGACAAAATACTCATTCTTCTCCTGTGAGGAACGATCTGGATAGAGACATGCCAGTCTTCCCCACTGCTCTTCATAAGCTCTAACAACCACTGATGAGCAGGTGGGAGCCCAATGATAGTTTCAACTACAGATGAGTAATTTCTCCACATGAATGACTGCACTGATCTTTCAGCGCACAAACTTATGCCATACAGATTATCATGGTACTAAATTCTGCTTAATAAATGTTATTTAGCCTCTAGGTTGGACAGAACTGATGCAGTTTCAGACCTGTTATTTGCACGCTGTGCAGCTGTTGAGATTACCTAACTATGGTGTACTTAGGTAGAGGAGTACCACAGAATCACCACAGCAGAGAGATACAGCAAGCCAGAGCCAAAGCCAAGATTTCCTACCTTGTGTTCACATTTCTGGTCAATGGGCAGTTTCATCCATTCACTGTCGTCCCCCATTGTAATTCAGGTTCTCTCTATAACTACAGTAATTCCTGTGGAGATAGGGACAAGTTAGAACACAGAAAAATACATGTCAGATGCTACCTGCAACGTACTTCTACTTAAAAAAAAAAAAACACAAAACAAAGACAATTCTGTAGCAAATCTTATCGCTAATGTGCAACCCAAGCTTGTAATTGTATTTAGATATGCACTACTAAGACTAGACCACTATTTTGTTAGCCCTGGAAAGCTACCAGAAGCCATTAAAGATTAGAGAGTAGTGCAATTTGTAGTATTTCAGACACTAGAAGTCTCAATCTGTGAAAGTTTTAGTAAACTGAGAAGGGCATGCAGAATATAACCTCATCTAAGCTTGAGGAAGAATGTACTATGATTAAGGTGCTAAAACGAAATGAGTACCCATCAACACTAGAAAACCGACTCTTACTGACACGTGCTTTCAGCAACAGGTGCCATGAATCAGTGTCAAAAAATAATCGGGTGCTAGTGTAAGAACAGCCATTTTAACAACTTTACAAACAGCACAATTGAAATGAACCGTACTGTGAGAAGAACAAAACCCATTTTTGCAAACTGGCCACTTTATGCCCTAATTCTAATGTAGCCAGCATCAGCAACTGTCAACAAGAGATCAATTTCTTACCACATGTAGGGCTCAAATCCTTACTCATTCAAGTTCCTAAGTGTTTTCCTCCTCCAGCCCTTTCCTTTTTATTAAAATAGGAATACTGACCATTAGGGTACGAGAGATGAGATCTCAGGCTCAACGCCCATCTCAGAAATATTGTACAGCTAACCTGACTGCTCAGAGAATAACAAGAGAATATGCCTGATGCAGGGAGATCAGCAAAATGAAAATAGCAGCAGCAGTAATGAGGGCTCCCAACATTATTTATACAAACAAACAAAATCAAACCAGAGAAGGCATAACACATTCCAGCACACCAGTTCAAATGCATAGACAAAGATGACCAAAATTCCAAAAATTGGCCAGCATATAAAATGATTTATCACTAAAGGCATATAAATACACAATACTAGCAGAATATTCCTAATGTAAATTCAGCCTATGCCAGCAAAGCTGCATACTTTAACCTACAAAATATTTCACCCAATGCACAGAGGTTCTCTGCAGAAAATTAACCCATAGAATTAGGAGCGTAATTTCACTGGTGTAAGTTAATATAAGCAAGTTCTCCAAAGCCTTCTGTCAGTCACAGAACACTAACATACAGCTAACTCAATAGCAAAATTAGGCTAACAACAACCCACAGTAAAAACAGTATTTTTTCTTCCTTCCTGGATTAGTTAGAAGATACTTAAAAAAATAACAACCCAACCCCCCAATAATTAAAACCAAACAAAAAAAAACCAACCAAAAAACCCCAAAAGCCCTACCAGCCACCAACACCCACACCAATCTACACTAAGCTTACCTTAAATATTTATAGATTCCTATGGATGTTAATACTGTTCTCACTATACTTGCATAAACCTATTTATTTGCACAAAGGCAATAAAACAAAAGTCAATGTCAGGACAGAAGTTGACTATGCATATAAACAAGTGCATCCAGGCATTATTATGGTTTGTCCTTCTCATTTCATAAACAGTGATGTGGATATTTTTTCTTGACATCAGCACAGTTGCACAGTGGTACTAAGAAGTTTGCTTTTTAAGCAAAAAGAGGCAAAAAAAACCAGTTGAGAGGGCCAAAGATGAAGACTTAATTAACCCCTAGAACTATAAACCACTGAGAATGAAGGAATCACTCTGCTCATCATGTAAGAAACGAAGTACACAGAAGTGAGGCTACCTAAAGCCCATTCTACTGAACCGTTAATTCTGGTACACCATCTTTGTAAATGTACAACTTCTTTAAAAAAACGTTCCAGGTTAAATACTGGTCACACCATTACAAGAAAAAGGTACTCTGATTTAAAATTTATAATGAAAATAAAACTCAAGCTTTGAAATGCCATACCAAAACTGAACAATCATAAGAGGTCAACAGGGCAAGTGAGTTACTACATCTTTTTGCATAGAAGCCTCACCAGCCTTTTGCAACGGATCCTGCTTTCATCCGTTTAAATTCTTCTGAAACTCTACTGCTTTCTTTTTCTCTACCCAAACCTCTCATTTGTTCTCTTATCCCCTCCTTCAGCCTACTTGAAAGAGAGGGTTCAAAATTAAATACAAATCAACAGCCTCCTGATTCAAATGGAATGCATTTTACTTATTAAAAAAAAACCCCCACAACCAAAACCAAACACACCCCCAAACAAAAAAAAAGCCACCACACACACAAAAGCAAGACACTCATGGCAAACATAGAGCTGGGGGGTAAAGCTATATCTAGCTCTGATTGCAATGATTTCTTTCCAAAATCAAAAGTGAGACTGCATCCACATTAAAAACTTTTCAAATAGCTCACCTAGCAAAGGATGCAGGAAAGCCCTAGTGTGAACGCAGTTACAGCAGCAGACTTCCTTCTGTCATTCAAGTTAGATCTGCAGCCAAGTGCCATCAGGAAAGATGCAGCTTTGCCAGTATAAGCTGTGTTTGCATTAGGAATACCTTCTTCTTAACATACCAATATAGAAATAATGGGGTACTTCCCCAGTGTAGATGCAGATGACAAATAGATACGGCGGTCTCTTCCCAAACTCACATGTGCCTTTGCCAAGAACAAGCAGAGTGAATTTAATAGGAAATTAGGTAGTTCTGAATCTTGCTCAGAAACTTGGAGGTAATTCAAGCCATTACCTGTCTATATCATTTTGCTAAGGAAAGCATAAGGAACCAATACAAGGACAACAGTTATTCACAAAGAAAACAGAAAAAGAAAGAAAGCACTAACCAGCATCAGAAACACGAGAATAAAGAGTTTTGGCACCTGTACTAAGACAAACCCCCATCTACACCCCATTCTTTTAGAAAACTATCAGCAGCATGAACTTCCTACTTCAACAATAAAAAGAAACATTTATTTCTCTCCAGAAATCTGTTCCACCAAAGGAAAATCTTATTGTAGGACAGCAACTACCTTACTATAATCCTAAAATCAGTTCAAACCCTAAAGTCAGGAGCAACTCTGTTAAAAAGGCTTGTCCATTGCAAGGCTGATACTGATTTACAAGTATTTTTACCCTTACACATATACAACAGTTCATCACTACAAAGTACGACCTCTTACTTGTATACTCCAGTGTTGCATTATAGAATCTAGAAGAAAAGGATCTACTATTTCCCTTCCCAACATCACGATATACGCAACTTGGAGGAGAACACACGTGATGGGACAGACACAGGGAGGGGAGACAGATGACCATGAAACAGTGTGTATTCTCTCACCCATTTTTTTTCAGTCTGGTCAAGTCAGTTCCCCTACTATTTTTAGTCATTAACATCTACAATGGTTACTTCAATTATAAAATGGGTTAAGTTGCCTTCTGTGCTGAATCTGGCATCTAAAAATAGTGATAAAATTTTACTTCCCCCCCCCAATAACTTACAAATCCCTTTAGAACAGTTTATCAGAAAGTATTCCACGGTCACAGAGGGAGAGCTCCTTCTTAAACATCCCATTTTTCCAGCTTCATCACTGCCTGTCTTAATGCCAAGATCTTGTACTGTCTACATCTTGCATTTACCAGAATAAAAGACTGTTTTTAATTCCTCCAATTAAGTCACTGGGTTCTGTATGTTCACAGAATATCCCACATTTGACAAAATGTTTTGTTTTTTTTTTATAAAGCTTCTTTGCACAGACATGTAAGCCTCCAGCCATTACTTCTCAACATGCAAATAGCAAGTAGCTTCATTATACAATAATGCAGCTAAATTATGTTATTACTAGTGAATTTGCAGCAATGAAGTTTGACCTACATAGCTTTCTTGTTACAACTCAGAACAAACAGATTTAAGTCTTTCAGTAGCAATATTCATTTTAGTAGAATCCAGAAGACAAGACCTCCAAAGTGACTGAACAACCAAAATAAGTTTTGTGAGAGAAGTTTGTTATTAACATGGTCAATACAACGTTTCCAAAAGCAAGTCAGCTGAGGAATCTGCAATGGAGATGAATAACAAATCCTCCCTGACAGTTCTTGGCAGGACAAGTTCTTATATTACAGAACAGTGAGAAAATGAAGATCATCAAGGAAAGAATAGGATGTCTTTCAAAGGGAGACCACGCAAAAGCAGCAAGAGCAGAAAGTACTTACGAGGCAGCACAAATGCAAGAATTTCAAACGTAAAAGTGAGAATTCCCCACTGAATATAAGTAAGTTTAGGAAACAAATTTATCAACACATTAAGAGATTATGGGAAAGTGTCAATACATGAAAGTTTGGATTAACCACGCAATGCTCTGAACAGCTCCTACTCAGCTTCTAAATAAATGCTTTCACTGCTCCAATTTTTGAGGGCTGAATAGCATCAACCTTACAGCTTCATAGTATGAGATACTGCTAAAGAAAATCCTTTCATCATAAACATCCTGAAATGCACGTGTTTTATTTTGAGGCATACATTTATCACCTATCACTATATTTTATTCTGTTTCAGCTTCCAGACCATCTTCTACAGAAAATGTGCAATGGCAAACTAGGAAGCCATTTTATGCTAAACAAAAACAGATGTTTATTGATACTGATTGTCCATTTCTCCCTACTCACTTCCACCTATTGAACATCACCATTGCCACAAGAACAGCATCAAGCATTTGATAGTTTGACAGCTTCTCAAAAACTTTACTGAAAAGACTAAGTTCTGAGAAAGCAAGACAGGCCTTTTTAAAGGAAAAAAATCTGTTTGAAATGTTCCTATACAGTAGGGCATATACTTGGGGAGCGTATAGCTGTATGTCACATTTCAGATGAAACTAGACTTCTCAGTAGACAGTTGTCGGTCAGTGCAGCCCCCGGTTTTCCTAGCAGAAAGAATTTTTATTTGTTTAATGGCAGTTTTGGGTCATATTTGCTCTTTGACTCTGAAAAGATGAAGTTTCACTTTTAGAAGTTTAGCCCAG